GGTCTGTCCTCTAGGAACCCCTCCACAACAGGCATGTCAGCGACTCCAACAGTTCGCGGATCGTCGACTTGATGTGGCATTGACAATGGGTATTGTTCCGCCGTCTTGGAGAACAATGTAGCCACTCTTATGGTGTTCAGGTGTCAAGTCTTCGCGTTTTTCCGATAGCATACATGATGCCTGGTCTTTGCCAAATTTTCTACCGGGGCATCTGTCACTGCTGTGTCCACTTTGTTTGCATACTCCGCATCGGCTGAAAGTATTCCCTTTCGTGCGGGACCAGCAGTCGGCTGCGCGATGGCCTGCCTTGTCACAAAGGAAACAGCGACTTGCAGGCTTCTCAGTCTTCTTCGCCGACTCCGGCTTGGACACCGAAGGTCCCGGATCCTTGGGAATACGTTCTCTTCCTAAGTTTGTGAGCGCCTGTGCTTCCATGAAGTTATCGGCAGTCTCGCAAAGCGAACTCAGAGTTTTGCAACTTCTCTCCTTGAGAAAGATCCTGAGTGCCGGAAAACAACCCTTCATGAATTGCTCACTTATCATCAGATCTCGCAGGCTAGCAAAGCTTGTCTCCGTTTTTCCCACTTCAAGCCAACGGTCAAAGTAGCCGGAAAGTCTTGCAGCATACTGCAGACCAGTCTCGTTTTCTTCGGGCTTCGCTTTACGAAATTTTTCGCGGTAGCCTTCCGCAGTATAGCGGAACCTCTGAAGAAGCGCCGCTTTCAGCTGATCAAAATTCAGCACAGCTGTTGGATCTAACCGGCCTATGACTGTCAGCGCTTCTCCTGTCATGCATAGGCTAAGCGAAAGAGCCCACTTTTTACGCGGCCACCCTTGACATGTGGCGACCCGTTCAAATCGCTGCAGGTACGCGTCGAGGTCGTCCCGAGCCTCATTGAAGGGCGGAATCGGTTTATGAGGACTGCAGACCTCTGTTATTCCTCTGGCGCTCATGCTGGATCCTCCTTGTTCGTCAGCCACCATTGGCTGTACCCTGCTTGCGCTCTCCTGAAGTCGAAGGTTCAGTTCGAGGGTCTTCAGCTCTTGTTCCTGCACCTTCTGCTGCTGCTCTAACAGCTTCTGCTGCCTCTCAGCGTTTTCTTTCGCGATCTCGCGCTCCCTAGCACGCTCATCTCGAGCTTCAACGCACTCACGCTCAACCCACTCTCTGAGCTCCTCGTTCTCCAACCCTAGCTGTCGGCCAAGTGCAATAAATTTCTCCCTGTCCATGACAAAGGCTGCGTCTGAGTAATGGCTTTAGATTTTAATAAGCCATCCTGGAATCTTCTGATCCTGGCAGGCTCGCCAATTGTGGTGGTTCTTGGGCCCTCAGACGCAGAAACCCAAGATAAGGACAAGAGAAACATCTATTGACTTCACACACAAAACAATCACAACACTGTGGTTATCTGTACAACACACTGGCTCCGTAATTCAGTCATACAGTCCTTATGTCTACGCGCCCGCGAGTAACCCACGCGTCCTCACTACTCGGAAGTCTAATTCCGTCGGGTGCCACTCACGCTCCCGCTGAAGACGATGGCGTCGACGACGCAACCTCGCCACGGGAAGGTTGCCAAGTGCAAGTGCACGGGAGCTCACGAGCAGACCATCAGCTGCTCGTGCTGGACCAGGCAGCCCCACGCTGTGGCCGACGCAACACCGAGGTCGCACCTTCAATTGGCGGTTGTGCCGGACCGGCTCCGACGTGGCACCGTGGCCACGATCTCGGTGACTGGTTGTGCCGGACCCGAGTCTGGACAGGATCAGCCGCTTGCCCTGGCCCGCACGCTCGTCCGCCACAGGAACAGCATGTCAGGCCCGGCCCGGAACCGCCACTCGCCTCAGGAACATGCCACGCTCGTCCCGGTTGGGTTGGTGACACCCGCTCGTTGGTTCGGTCCCCTGAGGCCCAACGCCTAGCGCTCTTGCTAGCTGGCCGCGTTCTTCCTCTGCCCGTCGCTGTTCCGAAGCTCACGCGCTCACGTTCGTCTGACCCCGTGCACACTTCGTCTTCGTCGGTTATGTTCCGCTGTCGGTTTCACTTTCAGTTTCGATTTTGGTTGTGAGAAGCACTCTTACCACAAGCACGAACTTCACAAACGCATGAAAATCAAAGAGAGTAGAGGTGTCGCAACATTCTACAGTTGTAAGCTTTTTCCAGTTGATTTATTTTCTCATGCACCTAGCCCTTTTCTCATGTTCAGCCATTGAACTTTCAGTATCAGTTTGGCTGTTTTGGTAAGATATCGATTTCGGATAGATATATCCATGAACCAATGTGCGTGTGTTGTTGGGAAAATGGGCTCGGCTGACCAGTTTGAGCGAATGTGTGGCGCGCTTGGTTAAGTGTAACATAAAAGTTCAATCATTAAAAGAACCATTGCAAGTCAGATATCAAATTATGGAGTCAGCTTCGCAATCTGACAAAGTCGAGCGGTAGTAATTGACTGAAAATCATGCCTGCTATTCACTAGAGAGCTGTTGTTAGGAGTGGGGAAGGATTTCGTTTGCAAAATATTACTTCAGAAGGCATGTACGAGTGGAGGTGACCTTTTAAACCGCCAGTTTCTAACAGCTCCAGTTTTGTTTTTATGATGTCTATATCAGACACAAGGCCCCATCCAGTGTCACTAGTCACTCTCATGGCATCGGTGTGACGCTTGCACGGATGCACAAGTGTGCCACGCATGCCGCTACAATCTTGCAACTTCACTTCAATTGAGTGATAACGAGCTTTGAGTCCGAAGATGACAGCACCTCAGTTTCAAACTCAGATTGTGACGTTTTTCCTCGGCCTGGGACATCCGTTCCGGGGCTGCTTTCGTTTACAGCCTTAAGTGAACTCCTGTGTCACAGAACTGGAGCTGCCGTCCTTTGTGCACAACCATCGAACTATCTACTATCTGCAAAAATACAAAATATTATGCAGTAATGCATATTTTGGAACACCAACTTATGCGGAGAGAGGTGGCTCATGGAAAGAGGTGACACCAGACGAACTGGCGAAGTTCATTCGCCATTTAAATTATGTAGGCGTTGTCCACATCGTGGGCATCCATCAGTATTAGACTACTAGAAGGCTCTTTACGTAAAAAAAAAAACTAATATTTTATGTGCAAAGTGCACACGTGCATCTGTGTCTCTAGAAAAAAATTGGCACCGTATCTGCATGTTACGCTATAAATGCCGTCAAAAGACGGTAGTCTTGCGCCTGGAGAGAGTGAACAAAACATTTATTTGATGTCCTGTGCAAGAAAATCGGTGAATGGTATTCTGGGGGCGCTGTGTTAGAGTGCCTCGAGCGTGCAGCGGAGGCGAACGAGCGCATCAAGTCGCGTCACACGTGAGACATGAGCGCTATCTGGCAGTTATCTTGGAAACAGAAACGCGTGGCCCTGCGCACCCATCTCGGAGGTGATAAGGTGTAGAACGCAAGGCGACGGGTAGGTGCCACTACCGTGTCGTCTTAGCAATGCGTTGAAAACACTTGCCTTTTCGTGCAAGTGTTGCATGGTCAGTGCAACATGATAAATGCTACACTCCTTAGAATCGCCTATGTATGCTTCTTCTAGTAAGAGACACACATACAGAATATTGACGTGTTGTTATGGTGCCTCAGATATGCACAATAATTGCTTTTTAATTGACAATTGCACAAGTATAAAAGCTAAATCTTGAGCAATATTGGTGGGCGCTGCAGATGGGGTCAGCCGTTTGGAGTATCGTTTGGCCACTTTGATGCCCTTTAGAAAACCGTTAAGCGTGGACAAAAAGACAAATGTACAAACAGACAGACCAAAATTTTTGCATCGAAGGTCCTCAAGAAAGACTATCATCTTTAAAAACCAGGAAATGATTCTCCACATGGCACGAGCACTGAAGCAGTACGTTGGCACAGATATTTTTTTTATCTATGTAAATACTAGAAACACTGTGTAGAACATTTGTAATTTTTTGTAGTATTCCTGGGGCATTTATTTTCAAAATGTGTACCTTGAATTTTTATTGCTTTGAATGTTTTTGTACAAATGGTGCTTTTTATTGCATCATTCATCATTTAGAAACCAAACATTTCACACTTTTCAAATTATTATACACTCCAAAATATTTCTGTTGCTTTACAAGATATACTTTTTAGAAAGAGCATTTCATTATGCATAATTCCGTATGCTATAATGCGCGCTGGAGTATTTTTCGAACTGGAAAAAGCATTCTTTTCGTGACATCTGAAAAATAATGATTTTCTTGTGGTAACAAAAGAGTTAATGGGCTCCCTCGTCAGTCCACATAGCAAATTTTGGTCAAGCCCTGGAAGTTTTGATCTAGCCAATAGAGAGCATTGTATCACAAGAATTTTTCAAAATTGCTTCGATGCGAATGGAGATAAAAAGAAATGTTTTGAAACGGCATGCCACAACACTCCATCCAGTTCTAAAGAATCGCATGCAACACCAATGGACGCGCGGGCCACTCCGTGCCTAGGCGGCCAAGGAGGACATGGAGCACATCGGTGTAGTAAGTGCCCTATCCTGGAGCACGCCACCCAGAGAGAGGATTACATTCCATTTAAAATCTGAGCTTCTTCCACGGCACCCAGTGATGCGAATTTTCACTGAAACGATTGCGAACGCAGCATGCAAATATGTGCTTATCATTTCAAAATGGCCCGTACTAGTGAGGGGCTCTTCAATTAATGCTCGACAAATCTATCTGGCCTAGATGTCTGACATCAAGAATATTTATTCTTCATCAAACAGGCTTCTGCTAAATGCTTTTTTTGAATATGCCCATCTATTTTACACATTCCTCCACATTTCTCAAATACATTATGGTGGTAGTCCCAAATCTTTTTGCCAGATTCCCATAAATATGAAGCTTGTTAGAAGCAGTGCTAGCCAAGGAAACTTGAAACGCATAGAGGTCTCTGAAGAGGGCCCTGCATAATGTGGAGATGATGTGCCACAAAGCAGCCAAAATGGTCACGAGTCAAGGCTTACCTGCTGTCTGGCATCTTCCTCCTGCCGTTCTCGTTCCAGGCGTTCTGCTTCCTCACGCTCCTGCCGTTCCTGAAATCACTGTAGCTGTGTCATACGCCTGATACCACAGGTGTCAAATATGCAATCTAAACCACAACTGATATTGCTACGGACACCACCTGCATCTTACCACTTAAGGTTGTTAACAACTGTTCCCCAAGGCAGCAATGATATAGCAGCTGACACACTAGCTCATCAATAGTAATACACTGAAACCTCGTTATAACGAAGTTGAAGAGGAACCGCATTTATTTCTTTATATCCATTATTTCGTTATATCAATTATAACAGCTTGTGGCAATGTATGCTCAGATGAGCACACACCTATGGGCATGCAAAGAAGGAAACCGCCTCGTGGCCCGATGTACCGCTATGCGACCACGCGTGTGACGGAAAATAAACATAGTCAAATCTCATTCATTCGAACACGCTTAATTCGTACTTCTTTCCAGTCAATTCGAACTCACGCTGTGGTCCCGTCAAAGCTATGTCTTTTCCAATGGGCGAAAACGTCCTATAATTCGAGCGCGCAAGCACTTGCGACAGTTAATTCGAACATACCGCGCTCCGAAAATGCTCTCAGCCCCATGCCCAGTGTTGAGAGGTGGCACCTCTCAACACTGCGCACGAAGAAGGAAAAAAAGAAAAGGAAAGAAAAGACTGTGGCTGATTGTTTGCTCTCTCTCAAATGCCGATCTGCGACGCGCCTGTGCCATGCTTCTCTCTTTTCAGTCTCTGCACGTAGAGATCCTTCTCCTTTCAAGACCGGGTGGGGAGAGAGAAGAAAAAAAATAAAGCTGTCACGGAGAGTTGGCTTTTTCTCTAATGCCGATCTGCTTCCCTCCGCGTGGAGACGCTCCTCCTTTCTCGGTGCAGACGATAGCAGCAGAGACGCAGTCATTGTCGTCAACTTGCCCCGCGAGCTACTATGCTTTGCAAACTACGTGCGAAATTGGTTGACTCACAAGGCAAAAATGTGCAGGCGCGCATCACCGATTACTTCAATTAATGATGGATGTGCTCTGATTTGTGAATAAATGTAAGTCTTCTAAGGCTTCCCTATTGTGTGTTCTTAACTGAGAGGGAAATCGCTTTGCACCGCTTCACGGTCATGTGACCTGCTGAACACTTTCTCAATCTTCTTCGCTGGCTGTGTGAGGAGGACGGCTCTCCCAGCCGCGCGTGGCGTGGCTGTAAGGTCAGCGCGAAAGTTTTGAAAGAGCCGTGCCAAACGAGCGTGCATCAAACTCCGCATAAAACAATATATTTAACACTCTACGGTCAGTTTTTTTTTATAGACTATTTGATAGACTAATAAAATAGGTCATATCCATTTACCGGTCAATTTTACTTAGTCACAACGAGGTTTAAAATGCGTGGTTCTTAATGGAGCTTTCAAGAGAAATTTAATTTACTTTGTTACATCCATTATTTCCTTATATCCCATAATGTTATAATGAGGTTTGAGTGGACTTAGCAAAAAGGTTGCAATGTGTAGAAAGTTCCGTGTAAACTATTTTCATGCATTGTTTGCCAGTTCCTGCACAATGAGTACCACTTAGTACATGTTGCTGTGGCGCACCCGTAACACTACCTTTCAGAACAACACTCAAACCTTATTATAAGAAAGTGGCATCTTACACAAAAATGAATTCATCATACCGAAAAATTTGCTAAAAAAGCTTATTCCTAACATTAAACCTATTACGAGACTAGTTTTCAATTACTTCGCTATAACAGATACCGTATTTACGCACATATTTGGTGCCCTCGCATAATTTGTGCACCCCTAACATTTTGCCAGCTTCAGAAAAAAAAAATAAACTTTACTAAAAAAAACTTTACTCGCATATATCATGCTCCCCGACCCGCCCGATCCAACTCGCAGGCACGTGCACCTCTGTACGTTTCAATGCTTCGGCCGGGTGCGCGCCTCCCCGAGCAGACGAGCGCAGTCAAACAGGCTGCTAGTGCGAAGTCCCTTCTTCCGAGGTGATCTCTCGAACTAGGGTCCCTGGAATACCGCACCCGAACACAAACCTTCTGACCGGTTGCCCGAACTGCTCAAGCGTTTGCCTCCCCCTATCTCCCAATCTCTACAAGCGCGATAATGGCGAGAATGCACGCTCGCATCATGATATGGACGAATTTCTGCATTGAAGGTGTGCGAGAGCCTGTTGTGCCAACCGTTCCTCTCGTTCTCTGCGTCCGCGCTACAATGCACACTTGGTGAATTTCGGAAGTTTAGGCTTCGCTATCCGGCCGACGCCTTTTGACGCTTTCTTTGCGATGTGCTACAGCAATTATATATACGGCAAAATTGAAGCTCGCTATTGTACATTGCTCCAAAGAAAAAGGGAAGTGTGCCACCGCAAAGCACTTCGATGGGATACTTCAATGTGACGACCGGTGCGATCTATATATGAGAAAGCAGAAGAAAGCCCGGTTGATGCAAGTTTTCTGCCATTGAAGGAGGCCTTTTCAATTATGCGCAGATGCTCAGTTCTTCCGGTATCACCGTGTCATGGGATCTAGTTTTTCCCACCATTGTTGAAAGAGCTTCAAGAAAATGGGGCATTCGAACGCACACAATGGAACCGAGGACGATGCGCTTCGGTAGGGCGCTGAGAGCAGCCGCGACGATGATCCTCAATTGGACTTCGCGATCAGTGATTCCTGCTATACCATTGGTGACCCAATCAGACTGCTTAAAGTATGCGTCAGTTCTTTCAAAACTAATAAGTATGCTTTGTTTGTGCTTCAATTAATTTCTTTTCTTAAATGTATATACTGCACGAGTTAGGACTGCGGCACAATATTTCGTATGCGCTCGCGAAATCCCCGCGTAATTTGCGCACCCCCTTCTCGGGGCCCCAAAATTGCAAAAAAATGTTCACAAATTAACAAGAGTAAATACGATACTTCATTATATCTGGGTTGATTATATCGAAGTTCGAGTGTATTGATCCTATTTTGTTTTCACAATAGTGATGGCACGTGGAACTACCAATACGTTACCACTTATTGCAAAGCTATTTGGTGACTTTGTGGAAGATGACAGCTACTCAAGATTTATTACTGATAAAACTGGTACACAGAACCTGAAAATGTATCACTACATCGAACTGATCTAATGACAAAAATGACAAATTGTAAGGTTCTTTAATGAGGTACTAAGTGATTGGAATCGTAGCGCATTTGATCGATCGAGCACAGGAGGAAAAGACAGAGTAAACAGAAAGAGCACAATCTATCAATGGGTCTTAGTTATTTAGTTGCTGCCTATATATATGTACTTTTTTTTACACACATCCTAAATAGACCGAAAGAAGAGAGGGAAAAAGAAACAATAAAATGCCTCTCAAGATCACGTCATCTCAACAAAATATGCACAGAAAATTACTTTCGGCGTTATACAGAGAGTGTCACTTATACAGTTGTCACCCATTTCCTCAATATAAGAAGCTTCTAACAGCTCAGGTCCTAATCTCCTTTAGCTTTTGCTTAGAATTTTCGCCCTTTCGAATATGGGCTCACACACCATGCATGAGCGGCTATGTGCGGGTAAGTTCGCCCCATCTCTTTCTGTAATTGACACAGCATGTTCCCCAACTTGTTCATTAACTGCAGAGCCCTGTTTGTCCCACGTACAATCGACATGGGTGGGATTTAGGTGGGATTTGGTGCACATGGGTGGGATTTGGTGCACAACTTCTGTGGCACATTTCAAAAAACTTTTGACATGCTTTCTACTGAAGCCGCTGCGCCATTTTCTGTTACCGCTGACCCTTGGGCACCAATAAAAATGTTAATCTGCAAGTGTTCCAGCGGTTCCACAAGAACGGCATCAATCTTCATGCAGACAAGCGCAGGTTCTGTGAATCATCAGTGACATATCTTGGACATCGTATTGATGCCGGGGGACTACATTCTCTTGAAAAGAATGTCGATGCAGTCAGACTAGCCCCATGCCACAAAATTTTGAACTGCGACTGTTCTTAGAAATGGTCTCTTTTTACAATAAGTTTCTGCGAAATCTTTCCACGGTGCTTGCACCTTTGTATAAGCTTCTTGAAAAAGGAGCAAAATGGGTTTCGCACACAAAGAAAAACACAGCATTTGCAAAGGAAAAAAACACTTTGAGTTCAACCCCAATGCTAACGTACTTTGATCCTCAGCGGCAGTTTTATTAGAATGCGACGTTTCGCCTAACGGTGTCGTTGCAACCATTTTTCAGCGCGTAAACGGTGAAGACGGGCCTATTGGGTTACGTTGACGAATGCTCTGAAAGAAAGTACTCCCAAATCGAGCGAGAAGCATTAGCGCTTGTGTTTGGCATGTTACGGTTCTGACGTGACCACCTTTTGGGACGGAAGTTCACACTCGTAACGAATCAGCATTCATCAATGGGGCTACTGAGACCAAACGGCCAAACTACCATCATGGCTACCACCCACATTGAGCGACGGGCACTTTTGCTTGGGCTGTACAGGCTTATTGTAAACCCGGCAAACAGATGTTCATTTTGGAAGCCCTAAGACACTCACTCCAACGTTGCAGGAGCCAGCAGCAGAAACAGAATATGGCGCAGAAATGGTGCTTCTCATTGACCAGCTGAACGAGCGAGCGGTTTTGCACAAAGAACTTCAAGCACTCACTGAAACGGATGACGTTTTACAAGTACGCAAGTACGTGACTGAAAGACAGCCCTACGTCTCTGATGACAGCAGGAAAATGGCACAATACTAAAAAAGGCGACATGAGTGATCTGTCAAGAAGGCCATGTTATGCTAACGCCATTATGAAGGGTTACAAAGAACAGCGCATGAGAAACTATTGAAATTGTTGCACAAGTCTAGTCAGAGAGCGTCCACAGTGAGGACAAAGGCTAGGACTAAATTTTCATCATATCTGCACAGCACAAGAAAACGAGTAGTTACAGTGTAACTACGGGAAGAAGAAACATGGACAAAAAAGAGTGCTGCTTAGTGCTTCAGCCTCACTAATGTTACAACACTTCGCAGAGTGCGACAATGAAGTATGCACGTCTGTTGAACTGAAGACTAATACCATTAGTCGTGATAAAGAAATGAAGACGAGTGGGAAGACCACATTGACGCGTGTACGCCAATGTGAGGAATTGCAATCTAAAGCTCATGCTTAGAATAAGAAGGATGTACGCTGTTAAAGAATTGATCTTGCAGCAGTTGAGCTATACCAATCAGGATAGATTGTGTTCTTCTTAAATATAAACAGCACTCGTTGCATAGTATTCCATGTTCGTTTTTTCACACTTTTTGGAGCGTAATGAGATTGTGCCAGCACAGGTAGGTGACTCACGTGATTACAATTACGATTTTTAGGCAAAGTTCACACTTCCGCACGCCGGAAGTGTGAAAACAGATGTTAATTGAGCGGAACGAATCGCAAAACATCGAAGTTGGTGAGGCAATGCAAACCCTCCGGCGCAACAAAACGATTTTTTGACCACGACTGCCGATTTTTTAACCCTGCCGCGCGTGCCAATCCAGGTGGCCGTGCTTCGACTTCTGCGCGCGAAGGCGCTCTTTCAAATTTTTCTTTGTGCGCGTTTTGCGGACCTTTCAAACAAGCTATCCGGCCTACCTCCTTTCCGCATGTTTTGCTTTTAAAGGTTGCCCTCCCGCCGTGTCCTCCCCTCTCTTCACTCTATCGCAACTCTCTCGCAAATCCGCTCTCCTCTCTTGATCACAACCCCTTCGCCCATTTCCCCCGCTCCGCTACGCCAGCCATGCTGGCTCAAGTTAGTTTCGTTTTCTGACTAAAAACGGGCCTAGATCTGTTCCGCTCGTTCTGGCATGTGTGTCGCGTGTGCGCATCTTGTTTGCTCTTGGTGTGCGTGTGTGATAAGGATGACAGACGGGAGGTCTTGCACGCTTTTTCCTGCTGCTCAACAAAACGTTGAAAGTGTGACCGCTTGGCTTGAGCGTGATCCGCGCGTTAGGTACCGCTTTGCGGAGCGCTTGCTCATGGCTGTTGACCACCAGGCAGCCAACTTGCCGCTCTGGGCGTCCCGATATTCGGCTGTGGAGATGGTGAATATTTCGTGGGCGGTGGTGATGGCTACATGCGCGCAAATCTGTTTTCGCGAGGATGACTTCGTCGCCGTCGAGCCCGTTGCCGAGCCTGAAGCTTCCGAACAGGATCACTTCGGCGGCGATTTGTGGCAGCGTGCTGTTGACTCCAACATGGGAGAGCGGGTGGAACATCTGTTGCAATGGTTTGATTACGGCCGATGATAATGCTGACACCGCGGAATCGTGCACAGATTAGGGCATTGTGAATGAAGTACACGGCAAGAGCGATTTGGAGGAATCGAATTGCGAGAACGACAAAACTTCGGAGCAAGTACTTCATGCAGCTTATGCCACGGGCCTCGGCGAACAAGCACGCTACTGTTTGAAATAAACTAGAGACCGCCCTTATCGCTTTTGCTCTTCGAAACACGTGCATCACGGGCTTTTTTAGGCAAAAAAAGTTTGTGTTTTCACTCGCAACTTTTTTAAAAGCAGTGTTTCATTTACTACGAACTTTGGGATACAGCGAATGGATGCCGCGTCAGGCTCAGGTTCGTTATAAGCGGGCTCGACGGTATAAGGGATCACAATTTTCCACGTATGTCTAGCTCTGCTGGTGTACCTGCAAGTCCCTTATTGCACTGCAGAAACCTACTGTAAAGCAAAAGCCTTTCAGTCACACCCAAGTTGTGGGCACACTGTGCTGCAGGAGATCAATAGATGCGAAATGAGCATCTCGCCAGACAGCACGGATCAGCATGTAATGATCGCGAGAGAGGGGTGCAAGCAAGTGTTCACCTTCTCTTCCATTTCCTGTCGTGCTCTGGTCGCTTCCTGACGGGCTCGCTTCTGTGCCAGCTTGCGCTCACGCTCTTCCTCCTTGAAGCGTTGCACTCGGGGGTCACAGGCATACGCCGTGTCTGCGAGAGAATGCGTTCCCTGTACCAACTTTTGAAGCGTGGCTATGCACTGGACAGAAAAAAATTGGGCAAGCAGCACAGCCGATATTACAGGGCTGCTACATATAAATGAATCTCATATGAATGCTGCCTACTGCAGCAGTGCAAAAGTGCTTGACTGCTGACTAGAAGGTTTGGCAGCCACATTTTGATCAAAGCAAAATGCTCGAGGCCCATGTACAATGCAATGAACATTCAAGAACACCAGGTGGTTGGTATTTCCACCTGTCTGAGGACACGAAAACGAGCCCTTGCTGCACTGGTACACACCAGACAGTGCATGCATGCCCGCTATGTAATCTTGCACTCATGGCCGCTCCCATGATCAAATCCTTTTGAAATTGGCATCCTCAGTGCAGCCGACAGCTATTTCAGTGCTGCTTGCTTTTTAAGAAATTAAAATAAAGGCCGCCATTCTATATAAGCAGCGGCTAGGAAGTCCGATTTATAACAGTCTATCTTTGCGTAAGAGCCTTATTGACGGACTGTAACTACAAGGAAGGCAAATTCGTGCAACATATTTTTATTGATTGATAAAGCCGATATGCAAGAGAATAAGTGAGGGAAGTTTAAAAAATACAATAAATGTGTTTTTTAATCGTCGTCAGAATTTTCTATAGCATGTTGTTTTCTTGAGGTTAGCCCGATTGTATCTATTGAAAAGTGAAATTGATACAAGCTTTGGCAGTTTGATAAAAAAGCATGCTGAAAACGTAATTAAGATTTCTCGCCGCACTGTCGTATGCGATTTCTGAAAAAAAAAAAAAACCTGCAAAGTAGGCAAAAAAAGTTTTCTGGGTTGAGTATGAGATTTTTTTATAAAAATATGCACACTACCCAGAGAAACCAAAAATAAAGAACAACCAAAAACATGTATATATAGCTGAACAAATGTGAGGAACATAGCTTTAATAAATTTCATGCAACTCGTCACCAAAGTCGGAAAAAACAGCAGAGCAGATAAGCGTGACACTCCACCTCTTCGTGTTGATTTCGGATGCTTCTAAAAAAATTATTCCAGCAAAAGCAATGGTGGATCTCTTCTATCCACTCATCAAGCAACAATACATATAACATGGAAATAAATTTAAAAGGTCAACCAGACATACTTTGTTTATCTCATGTCCAGGTCACCAACTTGTGGAAACAGGCAGACAGATGTTGATGCTGTGATACTACAAACTACAAATTTTTATCTGAAGCCTTTAGGCAGAAGCAAACAAAAACAGGTGGACCATCTAGTGTTGTGTCGTCGTCTTCTTTGGTTAGATTATTGTGGGCCGCACTAGCGTGCTATACCGTTACAAGTGGCCAAGGTCACTGGTTCGACTCAACAATGTTTGCCAATCTATTTCATCTTCTTGGTGTGAACCCCATTAAGACTACCTTAATTGTACCGCGCCATCGCCAATGAAATCCTCTAATGTTTCCTTCATCGTGGACCGAACGGCCTCCTTTTCTTAAGCTTGGCACCCGCATGTCTCTTCGCAGCAACCCCTCCATAAGCACTGCTAAGCTGATATTTGGCACCACTCTTGAAGTTTCTTCAGTTACTTCAGTGACGAAGTTTCTTCAGTGACACATACCATCTGTACAACACTTTGCATACTGTGGTTTCTCCCTGACAACGACACACATCCCGTAGTGTGTAAATTGGTCCCAACCTACAACACTGCACAAACGTTTTTGTGTAACACGATGCCCTGCGACCTCTCTTAGAGCCAGCATATGATGGCCCGTCATCAAACGCACTTCCTCTTGCTCATCAATGGCCTGAAAGATACTGTTTCTGCCAACCGTCTCAAACCTGCATACTTGGACACCGACACTTCAACAACTATTACAATCGCTTTGGCGTGCTGTACTCACAGCGTGCCTTTTCAGCTCAACAGTCTGCTTGTGGCCACCTATAACACACTCGCGACTTGCTCTCTAGAAAGGGAGCTCTGCAGAGCGCGCAAGCGCGTTACAGATGAATCCGACCAGAAGATGAGGATGATGCACCAAACACCAGATAGTCGCGTCTGTTCTTGGGTGCTATTATGTGACTTCAGACAACATATATTTTGTGGCCTCACAGCATCGACGCCTGTCTGCCTGTTACCACAAATTATGCAATGCTGTAGCATGGTATGGCACTTCTGGGATGTTTCAGATCATGAGTGACTTCATCGATCAAGAAATCGGACAACTCAGTGTTGAGCATAGCTGGAAGTGTACTGGCTAATTCTGTACTGAAGCAGCACTCAAAGAGCAATCTTAGCATTACACAGAAACAATTTTGACTTGAAACTTTTGCTTTGATGTACAAATTCATGGAATGCAAAAAGTAGTGACAAGGTGACAGACAAGGTCGGCATTCACTCAGTGGTAATTTATCACCTGTTTCTTGCTTTCGCTGTTTGCATATGCCCTGCAAGTGTGTAAACTTAAGTGGGTGAACAACAATCACTCATTTTAAGGGAGCTTTTTTGTGCAGCCATATCCATGGTTCAGGCCAAGCCTTGCCCAATGTCTGCCAACGCAAGCCTCAAGGACACATACACATCATGGCAAAGTATGTCACAAAGACAGTGGCATTTCATTTCCCTGTACATATTGCCACAAGGCAGTAATGGGATTGGGGCATAAAGCGGTAGAGGGTCTCTGCCTGGAAGAAAAAGACTACGAAGTGGATAGAAATTTATTAAGACTCTAAAAGTTTTTCAACATAAAGCCCACGTTAACAGGTACTCAAAAAAAAAACTGACGAAAAGTAATTTTTCAAATCTGGATAAATCCATGACATACCAAATTAATCGGGTTTGGCAAAACCAGCTGTCTGGTCAGCTCCCAAAATCAAGTTATAGCTATTAGTGTCTACTTTCTTGTTGATACTTTTTTCTCACTATCTAAATCTACTTTTTTTTTAACATACTGTCTTCACTATACAACTCCCCCCCCCCCCCCTTTTTTTTCGTTGTAAGCAATAATGCAGTTATCGTCCGTATGAGACTATATATTCTCTTGGCCAATCCCCCAGAGTGGGTATGAGCCATGGATTAGAGGCTACAAACAAACAAACAAACTGGTCTTAGCCCGCCAGTGTGCCAGGCATTGTCCTCGCTTGTAAACATCATAAATATCTGCAAATATACGTTTCCTTATAAGATTATTGGTGGAGGTGCTGGGTACGCCTACCTGGCTTTCCCGGCAAACCAACACGGAACTTCGGAGTGGTCGCCACCTTCATTTTCCTGCAATGGCTCAACAGGCCCACCCACAAGAGCAACAGCAGCAGCTGCCTCCTCTGATTCTCCTGCCTCCATGAGACCCCGGAACCTCCTCGGGCACAGGCAAGGACAAGGTGAATGTTGAAGATTAGGTCGCATTGTACGAGCGCGTGAGCGAGTACTATAGGTCAGACCCCACGTTGATGCTGGCCATCGTTGTACTTTACTTGCGGGATACGGCGCTCACCTGGTATGAGACGCATGAGTCGGAGTTGACCAGCTGGGACATTTGCAAACTGAAGCTTGTCGAGTTGTTCAGCAGGCCATTTGGGCGACAGCATGGCGTGAGGAAAGACCTGGAATGTTGCGTGCAAACACCGACGGAATCGTATGTATCTTACATACAGGATGTATTGGACCTCTGTCGAAAGGTGGACGAGAACATGAGCGAAACTGACAAAATCGCTCACATATTAAAGAGAATCGCCGATGACGCCTTCAATCTGTTGATCGTTAAAGATTGCGCCACTGTCGACGCGGTTGTGAAGGAATATCAGCGCTTCGAGCACGCCAAGAATCGTCGCATAACCCGCCAGTTTGCGCCTTTGCCTAATACTGCAGCCACTTTGACCTGCGAAGACAGCCCCAAGTTCACGCAAGCTACATCGTCCGTAAATGTCACCCGAATCGTTCGTCGCGAACTCGAAGCCATGGCTCCTGCAGCCATCGCTTCCGACGGCCCTCAAGACAACGCATCCACCGTCTCCCACATCCAAGCCGTCGTTCGCCAAGAAATAGCAAATCTCAGCATCGCACCTGTTTGCGCTGTTCGCACAACCGAGAGCTCGGCTTCTGTTAACCAAATTCCGGTGTACCCTTCAGGCTACCCTTCCCGCTACCGGAACCCTGCTGAATGGAGAACGTCGGATGATAGACCGATCTGCTTTCACTGCTCTTGCGCCGGCCACATTGCGCGCTACTGTCGCAATTGTTGGACATCCAATTAATCTTGGAACACTGGGACATGGCGTCGCTTTGCAGGCAACTCTCGCCGGTTTTCTACTCCGTACGATCCACAGCCTGCTCCTACTAACGTTCAGAGCTGAAGGTTCAGCCGGTCACCATCACCCCAAGGCCGCCTATCTCTCTCGCCGACGATTTGTCGATCCAGGTGCCCTGCACGACCTGGGTCCTTGACCTCGAGAAACTAGACCATGCAGCTCCCGGAGGTGACGCTGCATTACTGACCCGTTCTGCAAATCCTCTGTTGACGATTCCTACACGCCGCAATATTTTGGACCTATTGGTGGATGACGTAACCGTTACAGCCCTCATAGACACTGGCGCACAAATTTTAGTCATGAACGCTGCTCTCTGTATTAAACTGCGAAAAGTGATCACGCCTCCTAGTAAGTGTGCAGTAATGCTTGCCGATGGGAGCACATCTACCATTCTCGGCATGTGCACCTCTCGCGTGTGTATTGCTGGCCGCCAGACCGTCGTATTGTTCACCGTGCTTGAGCAGTGCCCACATGACGTGATTCTCGGTCTAGACTTTCTCTCTGTGCACTCCGCCCTTATCGACTGCTCGACGGGTCTTCTTCAGTTCGAGCTGCCTTTTGATGCCGCTGTTGCCTGTGATGCTCAAAGTCGCCTTTGTGCCACCGAGTTCCTGCATCTTACGCCGCAAGCCGCGACTTACGTGCCGCTCGTGTGTGATCCGCCAGTGCGCGATGGTGAATATGTCGT